GAACTGTGCAGATACTGTACACAGGTAAGCTGAGGTCAAGGGATCGACCCCTGGGATCTGCATCGGCTACTGCCAAAGGTGAAAACTGTTTCAACATGAAGACAGTGATAAGGGTGCTTCCTTTTGTGGACTTTTGGCTATGGTCTGACCATTTCAATATCTGGCACAAAAACAATGAGATTTTCGTCGGTTTTGTGGTTGACCTTTGGGCTCGGGATTTTGCAGGATATTAACACCCTGAAGACACAGCTCGAAGCTGCCAAGTATGACCTCATCAAGTATATTATAGGTAAGTCCCACGTTTGGGACTACGTCATATTCTTGCTGTTTTTTTTTTGGAACCATGTCTCGATTTATGAGTTTCATGCTTGCGCAGGGGCCATGCTAATCTTCTCTGTGTCATTCAAATTTGAAGTTTTAACGGACGTCGCAAAGGACGGTTTGGGACTAGTTCTCTGTACGTTCTTTCTAGAAAAATCGGAATCTGACTCCGTTGGATATCGGCTGTTTAGACAGCCACTCCCCCCGATGCAAAAAAAAACTCCTACCGGTAGCACCGTTTTGCGAGGGGTACCGGTAGCATAGAGTGGAAAACCGGGTGAATGGCAAAAATGGAATTTGTGTCAAAAAATTGGAAATGCGCCGAATCAGCGCGGCGATTATTGCACGGTCCAAATTATTTTATTTTTTTATTCTGATATTTTTCCTAGAAAGATCACGACCTAATCTACAGACCCTCAAATTTTCTGATTTTTTAAAGAATTCTTCCGAGCACGAAAAATCGCCAATGTTGTGGCTTTCAAATGGCGGGATTGGACCCGCCGGCGACGAGCGGTCACTGCCCCTCCGTAGAACCCGGCCCTAACTCACAGGGCCGAGGGTTTTCGGCTGTCGGGGGGACTGGCGGTTCTAGACTTTCAATTCTGAGGAGGCTATGCTCAGAAATAAACAAGAGACGGCAGGGGGGGGGGTGGTGGGTTCTTGCTACAAAGCATGAACCTGGCCATTTTTTGGACCAGAATCGTGCTCGCTAAGCATGAACATGGCACTACTGGCGCCTGGTCCTTTGAGCATGATCCACAATGCTGAACGAATGCATCGCACCATCCTCCTTTTTTTGCTGCAACCTTTCATGTCCACATATTGGACATGTTTCAATCATGGACATGCACAGCTGTGTGTCATTAAGTGAATGATAATGGCCAGGTAAAAAAGCATCAAAGATTGTGGGTGTTTAGTGGGGCCATAAAAGGAAGGAAAAATCTGAACCCCATCTTCATTTCCAACTTATAAAATATGAACGGTATCTTGGTTTCTAAGAGTCATTCTGGTCCAGAGGGCAGTCACTTTTGTTCGCGGTTTTTTTTTTTGTTTTGTCTTGCCCAGGGGCCGTGCTAATCTTCTCTGTATCGTTCCAGTTTAATGGATGTCTCGAAGGACATGTCCAGACTTGAGAGTTTTTTTTTTTTTTTTTTTTTTTTTTTTTTTTTTTTTTCCTTTTTTTTTTTTGCTTTTTTTTTTTTTTTTTTTTTTTTTTTTTTTTTTTTTTGATGTCCAGATTCTCAAGCGTGCAGAGGCCAGGGTATCTTCCTGCATCATTACAATCATTGAACCGGCTCGCTGTCGTGACCGGAGGATGAACCAGACAAGCGTAAAGAATCTAAAGATCATTTGGACACGTTCCCGTCTCATGTAGCTGTTAGTTGACAGATGACGAGTTCGAAACCTGAGAGGACGACCATTCGGGGAATATGCAACAATCATGTTAGGGGCTACGCCTTTCAAGAAAAGAGGAAGTCCATGCAGTCAGTTTAGTTAGAAAAGAAAAAGCTGAGGGGAAGGTAATCCGGCACTAATTCCTAATTTGGCATATTGTGTACGCTTTCTCCTGTCTGTGTGAACCCTCTACATCCGAGTGTGTTACCGTGGGCAAGATTAAAAAAAAGAAGGATTCTGGCATGGGTCTGGTGTCTAGGTCGGTTGAAGCGATGGCTGTAATCTTGCAAAAAAATTGTAAATGATTGGTGAGCGGCTTTCTTGTCAAGGGGGTGAAAGCGAGATGTGTGATGCCAGCAGCCATTATCGGAATGACTGGCTTTATTTTAAGTTTTTTTTTTAATTCTTTTATTTAAATTAGTTCCCCTCATTTTTTTTTAATTATAAGGGCGATGGGCTTGAGATATCATCATTGAACTTGATTGAACTGACCGGCCCCAGGTTATTCAGAATTTTCATTTTTTGTTATTCTGGGCATCTGATTGTATCTGGATTCAAACTTTGGTCTGATTCATATTTCAACAGTTTGTGGGTGTACCAACTGAGCGAGGCCCGTTGGTGCTTTATTGAAGTCTAACCACCAGTGTGGTGATGGCTATCTTTTTTTTTTTTTTTGATTGGCCATCCTGTGCTCGTCACACGTGCTGGAAGTGCGACATTATTATGCATGTAAATGATGTAATGCCTTTTTTTTATTTTCATTTTTTTTAATGAGCATATGAGCGTAATGTTGCTGATCCATTTTGAATTTTTGACAGTAATTTTCCATTTGTGGGCCTTTGGCCTGATTGTTGTTTTGTCCTGCGCAGGAACAATAGTCTCTGTGACTGCAGTCGGCTTAGGTTTGCTGCGCATCTTTCTCTGAGAGTCTCAAGTCGAGAGAGAGGGAGAGAGAGAGAGAGAGACTATGATCTTCCGTTGTGCGCGTCGTTCTTGACAGTTGACAGGACCAACAAGCATGTGTGCTGCTTCATGTCAGTGTTAGTCGCGTCCAATCCGTACGACTGCTTCCCCTCCTCCCCCCCCCCCCCCCCCCTCTCCTTACGACTTTCATCCCGATCTACTGTCTCCCCTTAAACACATCGCACCCAGATTATGGCCGTACGGAACCGGAAATATAGCTTGTATGCATTCATTTTCAGGGTGCGTTATGGATGGTAGTAATCATTTCCAATCGTTAAGACTTTCATCTCTAGCTCCTAATCATTTCTCGTTGACGATTATTACTCTGCATTTGCAGCTGAGGTTCGTTTCGTTGTGGGTGGAAATGCAACCAACCCCTGCGCGTACTAGTGTTCCCAGGCAACCACCTTTCGCAGATGGCTTGCAGTTAATGGGGGGGGAAGGGGTCATCCACCACTCCCTGTCCACCCCTAATTACTAATTACTAATTAGTCAGTTTTTTCAAGCCTTAATCTACCCCCCCCCCTCTGGAACTACTTACCCTTTCTCATTGCGGATTGCGGATTGCCGAGTGCAAGTTGCTCTGCATTTAGCTGCAGGGTTTTTTTATATGAGCAGGTCCAGCAGGAATGCACCCCCGTTCCTGTAGATGAAACTTGCACTCTTCAACATGGAGCTGTTCACAGAAGGTTTGGAGTTGCATTGGTCCCTTTTTTTTTCCTAATTAACTGTGGGGAGGGGACCCCAGCACTGGAAAATGCGGGCTTGCCTTTCTGTCATCGTCTTATTGGGTTCAGAAATGGGGGTCCAGCTGGCACTCTCCGAAAGCTACCTTGTTGCAGCTTTTTGCAGTGTGAGGTGGTCTTTCCACTATGGGTGTTTGGTTTAATTTGGTAGAATTTTCTTAGTGAATTTGTTTACAACTTAGAAATGAGAAAGGACTTACCGTCTTTAATTTATTGAATTTTATTATAATGCAATGAACTGGCAGATTCTAGAGGCCTGTATACTGACTACACTAGTTCTGTTAGTTTTGCTGACGGCGGGGTTTGATCCCTGGACCTATGCCTACTGTGACTGTTCTAAATCTCGGCTGTGCGTGAGGCCCTACCTGGATTCCCCCTTTGAGTCCATAGGCCTTCTGTTTTTTCTGTCTGTCCTCTTTTCCCGAGTTCCAGTCTAGGTGCGGTGAGGCTGTAGGGCAGTTTGTCGGTCCGTCTTTGGTAGTAGCAGACCTGTAGGGAGGGAGTTGGGGCCGGAATAAAATGTGGAGCAACAATTTCGTTCGGGCTCTCTTTTGCTTTTCTTTTTTCTTATGGTCTGGGGAGGTCGCGTTTTGCTGTCTGCTGCGCTATTCTCCCGGCACGAGGCATCGTCGTCCGGTTGAGGTGCTGGCGGCCATAGCTGGGGCCAGCCAGCAGCTACTTCAAGGGCAGCGCAGGGCAGCAGACCCTGAGCGCTGAGTGGCGCTTCCTTCTTCCTGTGCTTGGTTGGGGTTCGCGCAGCTGCCATCGATGCGGCGTCACTCGAAGCGTTCTTTGAGATGCAGGCTTTCATCTTCATCGAGTTGGTGTTCTCCTTCTTCATTCTAGAAGCTGCGCTCCTCTCTGAGCTGACACTTTGTCTGCAGAGGGAGGCTTTGTGTGTGGCGAGAGTGGTTTGTCAGGTACAGGAGGGTGGTGTGATGATTGGCGGGCTTGAAAGGGTGGCGGGGCATATGTGCGCCCGCCATAGCTAGGAGCGTGATCCGTTGGGAGGGAGAAGAAGTCTCCCTCTTACTTCTATGAAACTTTGTGAATAACTGGTCCTTGGGCATTGACAACATGGTTGGGTGGGATTCTTGGGAACAGTGAGTTGATTGGCTGGGGAGAGCAGGTTTCTAATCAGAGAATTGGTTACGTCCAATTCTATTTTTGGTCCAAGTGTGCTTCCCCTGTGTATTCTCGTCAAACATCCCGTGTGGTGTGGATTGCTCTCTCCAAGGCCTTCTCTTGTCATTGCGCATGTGTATGGGAACGTGTGAAATGCCATGCTGTATCTCGTTTCAATCAGGCACATAAAAGTAGGTTCAAATTTGCCATGCCCTCCCTCTTTCATTTGCGAGTTTCGTCAGAAGTTGATGCATCCTTAAAGCTGGTGGCTGACTAGCGTGGAAGTCCGTAGGCATCCTTAAAGCTGGTGGCTGACTAGCGTGGAAGTCCGTAGGCATCCTTAAAGCTGGTGGCTGACGTGGCTGACGTGACTGACGTCTGACCAGCGGCAATTTTTACTGCATACAGTGGACTAGCTGTTCCTGCCATTGATTATGATCTCCATGAGAAAACAAGTGAGATGTCTTTGCAGCCATTGATTTTGCTCTCTCTGAGCGGGGAGAAAAAAAAGAAAAAAAAAAGAACGAAAAAAGTGGTGTCTTTGTTGACAGCTGGGTGCAATTCTGAGGTTTCTTTTGCTGCTTCATTAAAGTTCATTTCGCTTTTTCAAGGTTTTCTATTTTTTTTTTTATTTTTTTTGGGGGGGGAGGAGGGGGGGGGGCGCGCGGGCATTAGGCATAATCCGTGTGCTTATGCGAACAGCCTGTCGTTGTGGATACATGTGCGGTGGTGGAGGGTTGGCGTGGGTGTCGGCTTCTTCTTCGTCTTTGTCTTTCTTTCTTTTTCTTTTTTTGTTATCTTTGGCAATGTCCTTTCACTCATCGTGATGAAACACTTTTTCAGTTTTCCAGCCGTTTGAGCTTTTTGTGAGTCGTGAAACAGTTTTGCGGCTGTTTGAGTTTTTTGTGAGTCGAAATGGAAAAGCCGTGCATCCAGCTGCGTGTGATTCCGGGATTTTGGATAGCAGTTGAGTGGCTTGAGCGTTTCGTGAGTTGGTGACGGTGAAGGAACGAAGCAGAACAAGGTACATGATGAGCCTGGAAGATAACTTAGAGAAGGATAAGAGACAAAAGATGGAATGCGGAAAAAAGGACGAAAAGACTTGAAAAGCCATCCGTACAACATATTAGGGTTACTTAGAAGTTAGAAACGAATTGATAATTTACTTCCAAAGGAGAACAACAGCAAGACCAGCACCTGCAGCCGCCACAGGAGGATGTGCCTCATGGAAATTTGGAGAGAGAGAGATTTCCACCCAAAGTCCACAAACCGGCAAACAGGGGAGAAGTTGTGCGTCAACCGCTAATCTGCAACCAATGGCTGTCGTGGATCAAGCAGATAAACCATGGGCGTTGATGTCCCACGACAGCCGCTGGATCACATGGCGGGAACGAGGCGTGTGGCAAGTCAGCCACATCTGGAACCACCAGCATAACCGATGGAAGACATGTGCAGAACTCAGAGAGACCCTCAAGGGCTGTCACAACCTCCAAGCCAATCTCACCACACTCGTGCAATCGGTACCCCGCGAATGGCTAGCACTGGTGCAAGCCCCGCCGACGGGGGTAGCAGGAGAATGGGCCACATGGAACTGGGAGGAGGACACCCCCACAGTTGCGCTGTCCCACGTCAAGAGAACAGGCCCATCAGGAGAAAATGGGTGCTATGCACCATCCACGATATCCGGCAGCCAGGTCAGACCGTCAGACCGTCAGCTCAGTTACCAGAGCAGTACGAGGCAGGGTTACAGTCAAACCTGCGCTTCTCAGGGAAGTCCGGGTGTCGCATACCGTAAAGGTGCAGACCAGAACAAGAACCGACCTCTCTCACATACTACAAGATAGCGCAGCGGAAGGCTAATATACCAATGATCAGACCAATCAATGTCGTAATGCAGACCAAACATACATCACCATCATTCCATGGTGTGAAAGGGGCTGGCGCTCACACAGGAAGAGTGCGCCAGTCCCCAGCCATACACAGACGAAGAAGAGGGGGGTTAGACGAAGAAGAGGAGAAGATGGGAATGTCGTCAACACCAAGTCTTCGGTACAGGTCCCAAATAATCCCTCGTCCAATGTCTCAATCCCAATGTCGAGTCTGAATCCAAATGTCGTCAAGTCCCAAAGTCACCAGTCTCTCTCTCTCTCATAGTCTGCAGATACTGAGAAGTTAGGTAGCAAGAGGGTGAGGGAGAGATGGTGGACTTGGAAGAGGAAGAAGA